AGAGGAAGAAAGGCACAGCCGCCTGCCTCGGTTTCCCTGGATGCAAGGGGGCGGGTGACGGGTGCTCGGAAGCTATGGAAGTCATTTGGCGCAGATCGCAAGATGGCAGGGGCCCAAACCAGAACATCCTGGGCCAAGGAGAAGCAAATGGGTTAGACACGGGAATTGTGAGAAAACCCTTGAGCGGAAATCAACCCCTCAACAGCCCCAGGGCCAGCCCCAGCCCTGCTTGTCAGCTGGAGATTCTCACAGCCACGCAGTGGCCCGCCAGCTCCCCAGCCAGGCCCAGAACCGGCCCCCTGCCTGGGGACCGCCTCTCAGTCAACCAAGTCCTCAGAAGTGGAGATCTACCGCCCCAGATTTCAAAGGGGGACTGCAGATGGCCCACCTCGCCTTCTGCCCTCTCAAACTTTCTACCAATGCAGTGCCACCCACCCCTCGGCTCAGCACGGCCACACAGCCTGAGCTCGCAGGGGGTTTCCTAGGGAGAATCCTGGGGGAGGGCGGGGACCACCCCTTCTGGAAGGAGATGACTTCGAATTGCGGTCCTGCCCTCTGGGCTCAGGTAAGCGTCTGGGAAGGTCAGAGCCCGGTTTAGAGGGAGGCAGGCGGCCCTCTTGATCTCTCTGGGTTCACCTGTCTGCACTGCACCCACCACCTTAGTGCTCTTGGGGCTCCGCTCTGCTCTGGGGGATCCCCAAGGGGATGGGGCGGAGGAGGACCCTTTGCAGAGCTTAGGCGGGAGGCGCTGGGGAGCGGAGCTGGGGAGTGGGAGGAGCAGGGCGGTTACCTCATTGAAGCCCTCCTGCAGGACGTCCAGTAAGTTCCCCCTGGTCAGGCAGGCTAGCATTGTTCCTGCCGGGGCTCCCCGGGCGGGGTCTCCAGCCAGGCGGCCGCCGCCTCCTCCTGCGCACACAAAGGCTGTCGGCTCAGCTCATTGGGATCTCGCCGGAGTCCCGCATGCCACTTACTGGAGACCTAGACCCGAGCCAAACTAGCGGCTCGCACTGGGCATGCTCGCTCAGGGGCCTCTGCTGGAGGGGCCCGGCGCTGCCGCGGTTCCTATAGAAACAGCTGGGCGCGCACCCGGTGCACCCGGTGCAGGGGCGCTGGAGGGCGGTCAGGCCAGGCGTGCGTGCGAGAGCCCCGCGGGTGCACGCCCCACCCCCTCACTCTCACACTCACTCACTCACACTCACACCAGGTTTGCTGGTGGGCGTGCCGCTGTGTGCACGCACACTGCGTTCATACACGCGCGCACATACACATTGACACACAGGCGAGCTGTGCATGTGCTTGCAATCACATACACTCACAGACACACCAGGTCCGCAGGCGGGCGTGCCAGCAGGAGCACAGGCTGCACACAAACATACTCTCCCTCTCTCTCTCTCTCTCTCTCACACATACACACACACACACACACACACACACTGCTGATTTTAAGGTCCCAAGCACCCCACCACAAGGTGAGTGGTAAAGAGAGTGAATCATGGGATTTTTTTCCACCCAGACCGGCTTAAAACAGCAACCTTTTTCCACATGAGGCCTGGGCAGTAAGACTGACTTAAAGAAGAGGAAGCAGAAGGGAGAGAAATGAGAAAGGGAAGAATCAGCCAGAGGAATGGAGGAGAGGCGGTGAGGATAGAGAGCACTTTAGTTATTGTTGGTAGTAGAACACACTTAGTACAACACAGCTAAATAAACCACCCAGGGTCACAACAGAAAAATCAAAGGTAAACCAAGGATGAGCAAGGCTTTACCAAAATGTGTTTCTTCCTTTTTAAAATAACTGTCAAAATGTAAAACACTTATTTATAACTAGTTTTAATACAAATAAAAACCTCAAAAATGTCCTGGTATGTGTGAAAGATTTAGGTAAAAGCTTCCTCGAATGAGACAGAGAGCTAGCTATTCCTCTGGTTCTAGTTATTCAAGTCACAGCCTTGGTTATTTATTTATTTTAATTTTTCTCCCTCGGGCAGCCTGAGACCTGGTGGTTAAAGGAGCTGGATCCTAAATGGCTGACCATTTGGTTTAAGTCACTGACCACGCAGCTTAAAAACTACACCTGGTGTGTGTGCCTGCATGCCCAAAATCCTCGCAGGAGGGAGAAATGACAAAGAATTGTGGCATGACCATTCCCCCTCTTCCTCTCTCTCTGTTTCTCTGTCTCTCTATGGTGGGTAGACATGTCCTCTGGCAAATTTCTGAAAAATACTTTTTTTTCTTTTTATTCATGAGAGAGCACATGTGCACTCATGTGATGGTGAAAGAGAGAGGGACAGAGAAAGAGAGAGATGAGCATCCTCCACAGGGCGTAGTCATGCTGCAGGCCCCTTCCTCTGGTCCTCCACCCCACTGGACTAACCAGGCCAAGAATTCATCCACTGGTCACCACGTGGGACCTGGCTTCTCTTAAGCAGTGCCTTACCTCTTTACCACAGTGCCAGCCCAATTATTTATTCTTAATACTAGTAACTTGGACACTCAGTGCAAATACTTTTTTTTTTTTTTTAAGGAAAATTGGGTACTGAAAAGAACACCATATTTGATTCCACGTCATGATTCCAGATGGGGCGGAAAGGTTTACAGAGTCTTAAGGCTTAAGGTCAGGGCTTTGCACAAGGGCACAGCTGGTCAGTGACAGAGACTGCTCAGGGAATTGGATTTTCCACTCTGCATTTTCCAAAAGGCCCAGGTGCCTAAAAGGCCCAAACCTCCATTAGTACCTTAGCAAGGAAAAGCAGTAATGCTCTTATTCAACCTAATGACCTCTTCCTCAGGTCTCTAGAGGAAAGAAAATCCTCATCCAGAGCAGTCAGACTAGCAATATCTTATCTAAATGTCTAAAGCTGCTAACACAAAGATGCTTCTGGGGAAAAGCACATCTTCCTCTGACCACAACAGGCAGGAAACAGAAGGCCAGCACAGAGCAGCTGCTGCCTGAATGCTGTGGTTCATGTCTGACTAAGGCAGGGGAAAAGCTGTGAACCAGAGCAGCCCGTAAGTCGGAAGAACACTGTCCTTCATAATCACCATCCTTCATAACCACTGGCCTTCATAACCACGCTAGGGAGTCTGTTGTGAACAACTCCCCTCCCCTCACCACTACAATGTTCACAGTGTAACACCCTCACAGGACTCACTAACCTATGTTCACACAACATGGCCCTTTTTAAAAAGAAGTTTGTGGGGCCAGCAGGTGGCATGGTGGTTAAGGGCCCGGGACTCCCACATGGCGGACCACAGTTTGAGTCCCGGACCTGGTTTGCTTTCTCTCTCCGGCCCTGCCCGCTGCCCCCGAAATAATTCTTTAAAAAAAAAAGTACTTTCCAATAGCACAGAATCATGTATAATAAATCTGAATGTGTAATGTTGCAAAACCCAAACACTCAGTGGATGGACCTCTGAGTAGAAGATCCTGATTGGTTGAGAGTTCATCATGCTTTGGACACAGAGAAGAAAATACTGAGACTTCAAAGGGAGGTCTTGTTGACACTTACCTATGCCAAGAGGTCATTGTTTCTCTTTTTTTTTTTGAGAGGTTTTTGCTATAGGGCGTGTGCACTCGCCAGACAGACAGAGACATAGAGAAGCGAGAAATCACCCCCCAGGGGGGATGGTCACACCGCAATCCCTTCTCCTCCATTCTCCTCTCGGGATCTCGGGCACGCACGCACACGTGCCCGGCGTGAGTTCTAAGCCACCGGGTCCAGGACTCGAACCACGGTCGACTATGTGGGAGTCCGGCAACATAGCCATTACGCCAACTGCTGGTTCCCAAGAGGTCATTGTTTCTCAAACATATATATATATATATACATACATATATATACACACACACATATATATATAGGAGAGGTTTTTTTGCTATAGGGCGTGTGCGCTCACCAGAAAGGCAGAGAGACAGAGAGATAAAAAGCGAGAAATCACCCCCCAGGGGGAATGGCCACGTGCAATCCCTTCTCCTCCATTCTCCTCTCGGGATCTTGGGCATATTTAAGCCATCGGGTCCGGGACTTGCACCACGGTCGGCTACATGGGAGTTCAGCACCATAGCCATTATGCTAACTGCTGGTCCCTCAAACACATTTGTTATCAAAGTGGGACCTGGGAGCTCAGTATTTCGGGAAAAGACGTATTAAATCACTGAATTTTAGAGCTACAACAAAATATTTCATTTGCCTCAACTCTCTTATTTCACAGGAGATGGAACCAAGGCCAGGAGAGTTGCTCACAGTCACTTGGTAAGTCAATATGGGAGGCAGGATCTAAACCTCAGGTTTCTGAGGCCCAGCCCTGTGCTGTTTATACTGCCTCTCACCACATGCTGCAGGAATTAAGAATCATGAGGTAGGCCCCACAGTAGTGGTAAGTGCCGTGCCCACATGGCCAATGGTGGTTTAAATCCCAACTGCAGTGGCTTGAAAAAGTGCTTGGTGGGACCAGCAGGTGGTGTGGTTGTTAAGGCGCAGGACTCTCTTACATGGCTGTGGTTGGAGTCCCAAACACAGTGGCTTGAAAATCACACTGGGTACGTGTGTTTGTGTGTGTGTCCAAAATCCCAAGAGGAGAATGGAGAAGGGTTTGTGGCATGGCCATTCCGCCTGGGGAGTGATTTCTCACTTTCCCTCTGGCGAGTGTTTGCATCCTATGACAAAAATCTTTAAAAAAAAAAAAAAGCCAACTGCTGGGTACATACATACATGCCCAAAATGCTGACAGAAAAGAGAAATAGAAGGAAAAGACTGTGGCATGACTATGCCTTGTTGGGGGTGCTTTCTTTCTCTCATTGTCTCTCTCGCTCTCTCTGATAAGTACATGTACACTCTGGTAATTCTTTTTTTTTTGTAAATTGTGAATTGATATAATTATTATTATAGGGTATACAGTTCAAGATTTCACTATTACTTGAAAGTCTGTAACTATACCAACCACATATTCTAGAGCTGTGGTGTCCACTAGAACCTTCTGTGTCAATGGAGATACCTTATTTCTATGCTGTCCCACACAGTGGCCACCAGCCACATACAGTTATTGATGCTCAAAATGTGGCTAGTGCAGCTGAAGAACTAAGCTACTACTTCTTCTTTTTCTTTTTTTTTTTTTTTTTACCATAGGACATGTGCTCTCATTGGAGAGAAAGAGAGGGACAGACAGTGAGAAAGAAAGCGAGAAATCACTTGCCAGAGACCAGCATAATGGTTATATCACTGGACTCCCATATAGTTGACTGCAGTTCAAGTCCTGGACCTGGTGGCTAAAAACTCACATTGGCGCATGTGTGTGTGTGTGCCCAAAATCCCAAGAGGAGAAGGGACTGCAACGTGCCCATCCCTCCAGGGGTTGATTTCTGGCTTTCTATCTCACTGTCTCTCTGGAGAGCACATGTGCCCTATAGCAAAATCTCTCTCTCTCTCAAAAAAACAAATAAATAAAAATAAATCACTCACCACAGAGGATAGCTACATCACAATCCCTTCTCCTTTCATCTTCTCTAAGGATTTTGGGTACACACACATATACACACACACATGCCCAGCATGATCTTCAAGCCACTGTGTCCGGGACTCAAACGATGGTCAGCCAGGTGGAATCCAGCACCTTGAACATACCACCTGCTGGTCTCCCAACAATAGAATTTCTAAATGTTCTGTTTCATTGTCCCTACACAACTATTGAGATGTTCCAGAAATATATTTCACATATTGTCTGCCTCTCACGTTTAGAAAAAGTGCAAAATTCTTGTTGGACCATAGGATGTCATTTTTTTTGGTTGACAGAAGCTGTGCTCTCCATACTATTATGGTCTGCCTCAAAAGTGGCCCAGGAGTGGCCTGCCGTTGGGACTGCAGCAAAATGCAATTCTCTGCCATGGACTCTCTTTCATGTCCAGAGACCTTCCTGATTATGCCATGCACACATGTTTTCATGATCCAGGGATGGCTGACCCCGTTGGTACTGTCTCTTTGTCTCTTTCTATCTCTGTCTCTCTCACTCACAGAAT